TGAGGGGGGCCTTAGGAACTTCTCAAACCCCAGTGCTCCATGTGGACTTACTCTGGCCTCAACAGGCTCTTCAGTTTCCTGCATTTTTGTCCATTACTACCACTGCTGGAATATCCTCCCCACCCCCCATACACCTCACCTGTTTGAATCCTCCTCATTGGTTAAAGAGCCAGCTCAAATTCTGTCTGTTCATGAAGGTCACTGCTCCATGACCTTCAGCCACACTTGCTTTCTCCTCTGAGCTTCCATGACCCTTATCACATTCTGTTTTGTATCATGGTGCTCTGTGTGCATGGCTTTATGATCAGCTTGTAAGCACCTGGATTGCTGGGACTGTGTCCTGCACATCTCCAATCCTGAAAAAAAGTCCTGTGTGTAGCACCCCGGGAGCCTCCTGACCAAGGCCAGGAAGAGGCCCTTCCAGCAAGATGGAGAGCTTTAGCAGCAACTGCTCAAGCCCAAAGTCTTCATACCTCCACATGTAATTCATTATAATAGCAGAAGACAAGTACCCATGAATGCCTGGGATTATTCAAGAGTGGAGGCGGGGAAATAGTCCAGAATTCTCATTTGTCATCCTTATTTGTGCGGTAAACCTTTATTGCTGAGAGACAGCAAATCACCTCCCTGCTCCATGTCTGTCTCCAGCAGAAAGTACCTCCCTCACAGCTTCATTGTGAGGGTCAACTGAGGCAACAGATGAAGTGCTTGTGCACATGGAAGATATTCTTTAAATCATGAAGACAGAGCAGTCAAGGTGCTTACAGGCTGATTAGGACAAAAACACGTATACAGGTTTACTGAAATACAAGATAGAACGTGGGAAGGGTCATCAGGGTATAGGATACCATAGGTAATGGAGTTCCTCACACATGGAATAGGTTTGGCAGGAGGAGCTCTGGTGCAAAGGCTTTGCAAGTCAGTTAGACTGGCAGGAACAGAGAGGATCGGCAAGGCATAGGAAAGCCTTGATTCTGCTCCAAAAGGATTTTCCCCTCTCCTGTGTCAGGAGTATCCTTACTGCTCTCATGTGGTCAGTAAGTTGAGTGTTTCACCTGTAAAGGGCACCCCAAGTACTAGACAGGAAGAAGCCCCGTCCCTGCTCTCTAGCACTTGGGGTGATAAGTGCTGCCAGGGAGTATGATCACCACCTGGTGTCAGAGCTGGTTTCAAGAGGCCTGGAGGCTCTCAAACCTCCAAGGGCTTATTTTCTAACAGAAAGAGTGGACCATGGACACTAACACTTATTCTACTATGCAGAATGCAATAAGTGGCTTAAGAGAGTGCAACCTGTTTCTCAGAATGTTCTTAGGAGGACTGGAAGGATCCGGCTGGTCTTCATACAGGAGGCAAGTCTGGAGCTCTGAAAAATAGCCTAGGGCGTTGGGAGGATGGTATCCTCAGAGGAAAACCTGGGGGGATCAAAGGAAGTGACCCAATGGATACGCCCCAGACAAGAATAGGACCTTTCTTGCAGCAGAGAACAGACAATAACAACTTGTAAAATTGCTGTTTCTGTCTAAGAGCCTGCTAATATGCTAGAGAGGATTTCGCATATATTATCTCTAATCCTTAAAACCACTCTTCAAGGTAGGCACAGCCCCCACTTTACAGATGAAGAAATGAGGTTAGGACAGGATTTGCCCAAAGCCACAAAGCCAGTTGATGGAGAAATCAGAAGTCAGACCCACGTTTGCTTGGTTCCCTTCCAAGTGCATGAGAAAAACTTTAAGAAATACAGATGCTTCCACACAAAGCAAACCAAGATGGACCCAGAATTGCCACTGCCCTGCCTGTACAACATGAGCACCACCCACTGGATACCTACTCCCAAGCCTTTTCAAATCTGGTACTTTCCACTGTTCCAGGCCACTTGGCCCACCTGGTGCCCCACCCCCTACCTCCTCCATCCCAGTTTCACCCACACCTAAAAATGATCTTCCCACCCAATCCCTACTTTTCTCTAGCAGAAGGCCCGAGACATGTATGCAGAGGAGCGGAAGAGGCAGCAGCTGGAGAGGGACCAGGCTACAGTGACAGAGCAGCTGCTGCAAGAGGGCCTCCAAGCCAGTGGGGACACCCAGCTCCGAAGGACACGCTTGCACAAACTCTCGGCCAGACGGGAAGAGCGAGTCCAAGGCTTCCTGCAGGCCTTGGAACTCAAGCGAGCTGACTGGCTGGCACGTCTGGGCACTGCATCAGCCTGAGTGAGGCTGGCCACCTGCCACTCTGCCCTGCCCTCTACCTCCAGGGCCCCACTCCCCTTCCTTTTCTTGGTGAAAGGCACCTCCTTTCCTGATAATGAATTGTGTTCCCTTTGCTTGGCTGGGGAGCCCAGGCCAGGTCTGCTGGCCATAGATACCTTTGGGCTGCCTGGGACAGTGGCTGCTGGGGAAGATTTAGGGTAAAAGTCTCCCACGAGTACACTAAACCCAGCTCTGGTCACCAATAGGGCTTGGAGAGCAAAGGGCCACAACTCAGCTGCCTGTCTCCTAGATGCACTTTCTTTTTCCACCAGCACATCCTTCAACACAGAATTTCAGGGAAGAGTTCTCCCCAAAACCCTAGCTCTTTACCCATCCATTTTTAGCCTTCCACCCAACTTCCACAAAAGATTTGGCTCTACCTTGGATCTGCTAGTAAATAACTAATAGGAAGCCAGTTATTTGGGTAAGGAAAAAAAGGGGTGGGAGAGACAGAAAGAAAATTTGCCCATCTGCTGCTCCTCCCCCTTGGCTCTCCACCTGGGATTTGCTATTGAATCTCTACCCCCTCCCACCACGAAGTGCTGATTGCTCACTGAAAGACTGAGCGCCCCCAATGGTGTGCGGAAGCCAGGCGGGTGATTACAATCCAATTACCTATTGTCGACTCAGCCCACACAAGCTTTTCTCCTCCTCTTGCAGGGCATGGGGCCAGGCTCCACTCCCAAGTGAGACTGGCCCCCTCCATGGTACAGGGTAACAGAAGGGCCTATAGGCCCTAGTGAATCAAATCCAGCACAGGCCTTCTCCCCTGTAACACAACAGGACTGAGCAGAACCAAGCACTTCTCCTAGCTGACTCTGCTCCTCACCCTCACCATCTCAAACTCTGATTCCCACTTCAGTCTTCGAGGTTTCTCTCAGCTTTTTGACCTGGCTCCCTAAGTAGGCCCTGAGATTATTCTTGGCATGGCAGCTTGTTCTAGGTCCTCTCTGCTTTTGAGGGTCAAAGCTGTGTCCTTTCCCTTACCTCCCTCTGCCAGGCTTTGCTGCAGAGCCGCTGAGAGGATTAGTGCCTTTGAAGAGCTATCTGCCTGAGCAACTCTTTCAGGTGCCCCAGACTGACAAGTACCAGCCAGCAACACCAACCAAATGCTACTCTGTTTAGTAAAGTCCGTTTTGCTTTTTTTTTTTTCCGAGATGGAGTCTCACCCTGTCCTGGCCGGTCTCGAACTCCTGACCTCAGGTTATCCACCGGCCTCAGCCTCCCAAAGTGCTGGGATTACAGGCATGAGCCACCGTGCTAGGCTTCCCATTTTACTTTCTGCAAGCTGTTTCCCTAGCAGCTCCCTCTAGGGGAGAGGTGGAATCTTGCAAGCAGTAGTACGAGCATACACCAAACCCCTAACTTTCCTATACCCCAGCCCCCCACTTCCCTTTTCTGTACCGGGATACCTGGCGGCAAGAGACCCCTTGGTTATTGTCCGTGCTCCCATAATCAAGCATAAATGCTAGACACTGCGATTGAGAAGCCAATCACTGCACCCTCTGGCAAGCCCCCATCCACACCTGGCACTCCCCACTACCAATCCCTGGCACAAGTTTCCTGGAAAGCAGGTGCTCTACATTTTCCATCTTTACAATGGGGCTGTTGACAGCCATAATTAGGGAGGCATGAATTATGAGGCTATAATGCAGAGCCCTACAATTAAGGCGGGAATGAGGGGCTGGAGGCAGCAAACGGAATCTGCCTTATGAGTGTGGCTGTTGAGTCCTGTCTCCTGGGTCTGACTTTCCGTAATATGATTGGGGTACAGTAGGTGATTAATGGGGCTGGCATGTCTCTTTGGCCTGAGGTCCTCTATTCTGGGAAAGGTACACAGGGTGGAGTAGGGAGAAGCTGCCCCAGGAGGTGATGTAGGGGTGGAAAGAAGAGGCAAATAGGTCGTCGTAGCCCAGAAAAAGAGCTGCAAAATAGTTGAACTCGTGGTTGCTTTGAACAGGTATGATTTGTATAAGGCAGGTTCAACCTTTGCCTCAAGAAATCAGATGGGACCAATTTAAGTGTTCTTCCACCTGTGAGCCAAGCCCCCATTTGAGGACATCTATCGTGTTCTTGTGTTCTGGGTCTCAAATAGAATTTTTAAAGATTCTTAGATGTAAAACTTGTTTGCTAACTGCAACGGAAGAACACCTTGTTTTGCTGCTGCAATTACCTACCCTCCCTCAGGTGCGCCTGGCTAGCTCCCAAGACCCTGGCTTTGGACTAGGGGGCATTGGAAAAGCCCTTTTGCCATCACACCACCTGTTCCTCTACTTGTTTCCTAGTCCCCGGGCGCTTTCCTCCATCCTTTTCCTCGCGCAAGTGAAAGGCAGCCAGCTTGACAGTGTGGAAGGAGGGATTTCGCCAACTGCGACTGCAGTGCCCAGGCTTGGTGGCCGCATTGGGTGGGGACAGCTGGGCTAGATGTCTCCGAGATGGGTAGAGTGTAGGGGGAGGGGAGTGCCGGTAGACCTCGACGGCCGCTCTCCACCATTCTGTGGCGGAGTCTGGAGGTTTGAGAATACAGGGACCTTAAGGGAACCACCCGACAGGCGTTAGCGGGTGGGGGCTTCGATAGCATTTGGGGAGGCGGCTGCGCAACGGGTGCTGAAAGGACAGCTCCTACCTGCCCCACAGCACCCAAAAGGCACCTCCGCTTGGAAAGTCTCCCCCTGAAATCCCTAGCCCACCTCGAGTGGACGCTTTTTCAGGTGAGATGCACGAAAGGCTTTCCCGAAGTGGCAGCTCGGAAGGATGCACGTCCGGCTGCGCCAAGCTGGCTTCCCCGCCTTTTTTCCACTTCGGCGTCAGCCTGGGCCCTGGGAACTGCAGCCTGTGCCTCCAGCCGCGCGCTTCCTCCTGTCTCCAGTGGAGCAAGGCAGTGAAGCCAGGCCTCGCAAACCCCTCTTCTGGGGCCCCCAGCGGGAGCAGGAAGGAAAGCTGCTGAAATGTGCCCAGAGTGTCGCACGGCTTGGAGAAGTGGGTTGCTGGGTTGCATAAGGTGGAAGGAACTTGCTAGTTTGCAAAAGCCAGCTCTTGGCGGGAGCCGGAACCCAGTGCCCGCCGACTTGCGCACCCCTCCTCATTTACTGCCTTCGACGCACGCCTCCCCTACTGCGCCCCCCACCCCCTCGGCGCGCCGCCGTCTCGCGCGCACCCCCCCACACCCCCCTCCTCACTCCCTCCAGAGGAGGTGAGTTTAAACCCCGCCCACGTGACCCCAGCTGGGCCAATGAACGGCGGCGGGAGGTGAAATCCGGTTCTAACCGGTCCGGGGCTCCCAGCGCTATAAAAACTTTATAAACCCCCCGGAGCCCGAGCAGTGTGAAGAAGAGGAGGCGAGAACGACCCCCGGACCGACCGAAGCCCACGCGCCGCTGCATCCCGCGCCCAGCGCCTACGTCCCGCCGCCGTCGCCACCATGCCCAAGAGAAAGGTACGTGGCGCGAGGGCCCCAGGCGCCGGGCCGCCAGTGCCACCGCCGCCGCCACCGACTCCCCGGCGCAGGGCGCGAGAATCGGCGCCAGGCAGGAGCCAGCGCTGCTGCCCCGCGCTGGGGATCGAGGCTGTGCGGGGCGGCTCGGGGCTAACCCTGAGCAACAGCTTGGCTGCCCGCTGGCGCCAGAGGCCATATTGGAGGAGCGGCGGCCGCGGCGGGAGGAGCCATGTTGGCGGCTGTTTATCCCGCTCCCCTCGGGCTCGGCGCCCCCGCCCGTGCACCCTCCCCCATCGCCAGGGCCCCTTCCCTCCCCTCCCTGCGGGCGGGCAATTCAAACCCGAAAGGGCGGGAAGGCGGCGCTCGGGGTTGGCGGGCGGGGGAACGCGCTGCCGCCAAAAAACTGCCGCCGTGAGGGGGCGGGGTCTCTCCCCCTCGGGGCGGGGCTTGTGCGGTGTGGCCCCGCCCCTCGCCCACGTTCCCGGCGCACGAGACGCGCGCTGCCGCCGCCCACGAGTTCCCCAGGCTGCGTGCACCTCCCTCTCCCGCCCTCGACGGCTGCCATGGCAACGGCGCTCGGCTCCGCCTCCGGAGGGGGTTTGTTTGCGCCATCTGCAGCTGTTGCTTCTGCCTGGCGCGGTGGTGCGGGTTCGGCTGCCCTTCCCGGCCGCGTTCCGGCTCAGCCCTCGCTTCCCCGGGTCGGCTCTCGCGCGCTCTTCGGTCTTAATACGAACGTAGGGCTCACTCGTTTGTTTATGTCCCGGAAAAGTTGTGTGGACGATTGCTTTAATTTTCGTTGTTAAGACTCTGAAGTTTAGGAAATAACTAAGAACTACCTCAAAAGTTGCAGTTTTTTGTTCTCGTTTCTTATAGGCTGAAGGGGATGCTAAAGGAGATAAAGCCAAGGTGAAGGACGAAGTAAGTCATTCTCTCTTTAAGGGTCAAAGCCTTGAATAGCAGAGGCCACTGGACTCGGTGATTAACCGTAGCCTGTGTCCTGAATTTACACTCCTATAATCCAGAGCAAATTGATACCAAAACTTCAAAGCGATTTACCTGACATATTTCTAACTTTCTCGTTGTCTTTAATAGCCACAGAGAAGATCCGCGAGGTTGTCCGCTGTAAGTGTATGCTTTGAATTTTCCTATTTGTCCCTGAAACTAAATATAAAAAAAAAAAAACCAAAACTTTGCTTTCCATGAATTATGGTTAGTTCCTGATTTGAATGATCGCCTCTTCTTGGGACTCTTGCCCCTTTGGCGTTTGCTGGTTCTGAAATTCTGATGACTGTTGCCAAGGTGGGACATTTGAGTGGGCTTCTGGAGATTCAACATTCTAAAAGCCAGCCACAAAAACTTGAGGAGGAGAAACTTCTCTACCCTTGGTACTTTTGGCTGGTTGGTCGTGGGTGGTTTTCTTCGGTCCATTGTACTGATGTTTACTTTTTCCTCTGTTCTTGCCAAAAAAAGAAACCTGCTCCTCCAAAGCCAGAGCCCAAGCCTAAAAAGGCCCCTGCAAAGGTAAGTGCTAACATTGGAATTGATCACTTTCACAGAATGAGGACTGTCCTTAGGCCTTAGCTTAATTAGCATAAAGGTGCCTCCATTAATGGAGGTTATAAACTGTCAGTGGTTTGCCTCATCCTAGGGATTCATAACCTTGGTTTCCTAATTAAGAACTCTGTCATTAGTTTGTAGGAAAATGTGCATTTAAATATTAAATAATCTAGGGTTTAAGCTGATTTCTTCTGTTACTTACACTTAGATAGGAAATTTTAAGTACTAAAGATTATTGCAAGTTACAGATAATTTAACCTAGTTTTGATCAGTTGTTCTTGTCAACAGGTGAGGGTTTGTGTGTTTTATCTTCAGTAAACAGTCCTACCTTGTGCAGAACTTTGCAGACCATACCCTGGTAATAGGAAATGGGGAGAAACAGTTCTATTTTTTCCCCTTTTTCAGAAGGGAGAGAAGGTACCCAAAGGGAAAAAGGGAAAAGCTGATGCTGGCAAGGAAGGGAATAACCCTGCAGAAAACGGAGATGCCAAAACAGACCAGGTACAACTGCTGTTTAACTCTTTGTAGATCTGCTCATTCAGTTCGTTGCTGATTTCAAAGACTTAATTACCCTTTTATCACTCCAATGTACTGTTTGGTCCAGAGTTTGCTTGTGGCTTTCCTGTTAACTTAAATCCTGGATTCTTGTAGTCTCTACTGTCAGCCGAAGGGCACTGTGTTTTATACCACGTAAGGTTTTCAAGCTAGGAGTAACCTCGGGTCTCTAATTCTGGTATTCCTCCTTCCCCAGTTTTATAGTAAGGCCCAGAGGAGAGGTGACTTAGCAAAGTTATTTAGTAAGTCAGTCTCAGAAGAAACACTCAGTCTCAGAACCTGAAACCTGAACTTTGGCCTGGGAGCAAAATGATGCTGTAGGTGGAATGTAAACAAAGATAGTTTCAAAATCTACACATTGCACTAATTTGTCTGTTTTCTTTTAGGCACAGAAAGCCGAAGGTGCTGGAGATGCCAAGTGAAGTGTGTGCATTTTTGATAACTGTGTACTTCTGGTGACTGTACAGTTTGAAATACTATTTTTTATCAAGTTTTATAAAAATGCAGAATTTTGTTTTACTTTTTTTTTTTTTTTTTTTTTTTTTTTTTTTTTTTTTTTTAAAGCTATGTTGTTAGCACAGAGAACACTTCATTGTTGTTTTGGGAGAAGGGGCATATGTCACTAACAGACTGTCTCCAAAGCTGGATTGATGTGGGGAAACGACTTTCCCTTCTAGTTTTGAGAGACTTCCTCTTGGCTCCCAGGAGGAGGGATTCCCTGACTTTGACACACATGGCCACCTTGGCACACAAAAGCCTTGTGGTATGGAAAAACAAATTCGCTTTTATGTCCTCTTCTCCCTTTCCGTCTTTCAGCATAGACTTAACTCCCTTAAGTCCAGGCATCTGTTGGGACCTGACCCCCAGTCATTGGTTACCAGTGTGTCAGGCAATCTGGTCTTGCCAGTGATGCCATTGAGATGGCACCTGTCAAAAGAGCAGTGATTCCATTTCTAGATTGTGGATCTTCAGATAAATTCTGCCATTTTCATTTCACTTCCTGAAAGTCAGGGTCGGCTCGTGAAAAGTTGTTAAACAACGTGCTAAATGTGAAATGTCAACCCTCACTCTAAACTTTCCCTGTTCAGAGCATCAGATGAAGACTTCATTGGGTTTTATAGTGGCTTTCTGATTTTTGGTAGTCCATCAAAGAAGGGAGTTTGAAAGTTGTTGTATACTGTTAATGATTGCCCATGTCCTGCCTGAAATACCATGATTGTTTATGGAAAGTATCTTTAATAAAGCTGGATACAGTTTGGCTTGGAATGCTGCCTCTGATCTTTTCCCACAGTGGGGTAACCTGGTTTATCCAAGTTTCTTGGAAGAGTGTTCTGCTTTGAGGTATTTCCTATACAGTCTAATGATCTTTCACTAATTTATGGTCAGTTTCTAAAACACCCAGTGCTAGGTGGAGTTAGGGAGGATTCCAGGAGTATCCTTCCTACTGGTGGTGAAAGGCTGAGAGAAGGAAAGTGATTTCTGTACTTTGCTATGCAGCATTCCCTGCAGTGTTTGTTTTTTGCATAACAATACATGAAGTGTATTAAATGCAGATTTTTGGTAGATCTGAGGTTTTGGCTTGGTAGTTGACAGTAAGGAGCCTCTATTTCCATCTGCATCTGTAATCTATAAAATTAGCAGATTAATAGACTCATGTCAGAGAGTGCCCCTGGGTCACACAATTGGCCATTTGTAAGGCAGATGACACTTTGCTCCTAAGTAGACCTGCAAACAAAGACATGAAGGGGTCTTTTCTGATTCCTTTAGTTGGAGTTGCTGCAGAGAACCCCCTTTCTCTTAAGTGAAATGGCAAGGTATTTGTTAGAACATGAAACTTGCATTTGCTTTTACAGACCCCGTAGCTGTATTGTTGGACAGGAATAAAGTAAGTTGGAGACCACAGTTGCCATGTCCATCCCCTTAGTCAAAAAAGTGTAGTTGTTAAACTTTTCATGAGGTATTTTGTGTATTATCTCTCAAGTATTGAGATGTTTGTATAAGTGTCACTCATGGATGAGGAAGCAGGCACAGATGAAGAAATTTAAGGTTATGTGTACATCTGATGAGCAGCAGTCAGGATTCGACCGTCATCTAGACAAGTCACCTCTGACAGACATTCAGGATAAAGTAACATTTGTCCATTTAGGTATTTACCAGCCATTTACTTTCATTATTACTGAAGTCACTCTAGGTTGTAGGTGGGTAATTTTTATTCTAGAAATAGTGTCCTCTTCCACAGGAAACTTAAAGATGTATCAGAGTGGTTGGGGGTAGTGTAGGCTGGTATTTGAGCAGAGGTTGCAGGATTTGATAAAGTTACAGCTGGGGTTCTTTGTCAGTGACAAGTCTGCCAAGCCCTGGGCTATGCTAGCAGCTCTGCCTCATGCTCTTTAATCTTTGGGTCAGTCCTGTGAGATACAGGTATAGCCCCATTTTGTAGTTGAGAGTGAGGTTCAGATGTGAAGCAACTGGCTGAGGTTAAACTTGATAGTCTCTTTTTATTTTCTGGCCCTCTTGTTTCCAAATAATTAGGATGAGTAGGGTAAGCTTGAACTTTTTGGGTTTTTTTCCTTCCTGGAAAATACTGATTTCACTGGTTCTGGACCATGAAAGTAGCCAGGCCTAAAACCAAACCAGACATCAAATTGTGATAAGGACCATTCTCTCATGGTAGCATGCTCAGTGCAAACCCTGTCTCCAGGCCCGTTCTTATGATCTCTGGAAAAGTCACCAGTAACCTGCATATGATACTTTGGGCTCTAAGTAAAAGGACACTAAAATGGCACAAACTAGAGGATCCCTCTCCTGATCAAGTCCCAAGGGTCAGGCAGTTGTGAAGACCCAGATGGGTCTTCCCATCTTCTCTGCTACCCTTGGCATGTTCTCTAACCACCTTAACCTTCAAGTCATTGCTCTAGGCATCATATCTTGCCATACCAATGGCAAGAGTCCAGAGGATTACTGGTTTTTTTTCCTCTAAGAATAACGAGGGAGCCACAGTGGCTCAGCCCACTTGTTCTGACACGAGGTGTGGCTACACATTCCAGGCCTGCCTGGGCAACAGAAACATCCATTGAAATATATATATATAATTTTTTTATTTTTTATTTTTGGCCAGGTGCAGTGTCTCACGCCTGTAATCCCAACACTTTAGGAGACTGAGGCGGGTGGATCACCTGAGATCAGGAGTTCAAGACCAGCCTGTCCAACATGGCGAAACTCCATCTGTTCTAAAAATATAAAAAATTAGCCGGGCATGGTGATGGGTACCTGTAATCCCAGCTACTAAGGAGGCTGAAGCAGGAGAATCCCTTGAACCTGGGAGGCGGAGGTTGCAGTGAGCTGAGATTGCACCAATGTACTCCAGCCTGGGTGACAAGCGAAACTCCCTCTCAAAAAAATATTTCCTCCCACAAACCCACAGCAGCCTGTGTTTTACTGGGCAGATCTGGATTGCCTGTCCACTCCTAAAACAAGAGGAATGAAACCACAGAATCTGCTTAGACCAGTCAGGATTGTTGGAATTAAACAAGAGGGATGATGATAGACGGGAAAAATGGCTGTACTGTGGACAGCCTGCTGCATGGTCTCTTCAGGCATGGCCTCATTCACTGCATCGGTTAACTGCTGAGAATTGCCCCGCCCACTTTTTAAATTGAGAAATAATCATATACCATTAAGTCACCATTTTATTATTATTTTAAGAGATGGAGTCTTGCTGTGTTGCCCAGGCTGGTATTCAACTCCTAGGCATGAAACAGTGCTCCCACCCTGGCTTCCCAAAGTGCTGGCACTGCACGCCCAGCCAAAATTCACCATTTTAAAGCATATACTACAGTGGTTTTACTACATTCACAACATTTTGCAACTCACTACTGTCTAATTCTGGAATTTTTTTTTTTTTTTTGAGATGGGGTCTCACTGTGTCACCCAGGCTAGATTGCAGTGGTATGACCTCAGTTCATTGTTCACTGCAGCGTCTACCTCCTAGGCTCAAGGAATTGTCCCACCTCAACCTCCCAAATAGCTAGGACCACAGGCACAAACCGTGCCTGGCTAATTTTTTTGTGTTTTTGGTAGAGACGGGGTTTCACCGTGTTGCCCAGGCTGGTATAAACTCTTGACCTCAAGTGATCTGCCTGCCTTGGCCTCCCAAAGTGCTGGGATTATACGATGAGCCACCCTGCCTAGCCTATGAATATTTTCATCGCCCCAAAAAAGCTCCATGCCCATTAGCAGTTAATTCTCCATTTCTTCCTCCCAACATCCCTAGATAATCACTAATTACTTGCTGTCTCTCTAGAACTTTTCTGGATACTACATCTAAATGGAATGAAACAATCTGGTTTTTCATGACTGGCTTCTTTCACTTAGCATGTTTTCAAGGTTCATTCACATCATATGTATTTGATAACTTGTATTACCAAATAACATTCCATTGTATGGATATATCACATTGGATAAACCACATCTTATTTACCTATCAGTTGATGTACATTTGGGTGATTGCTACTTTGGGGCTATTGTGAATAATGCTGCTATGGATATTATATAGAAGTTTTTGTAGACATACGTTTCTAGTTCATTTGGGCATTTGCGTAGGAATGGAATTGATGGATCATATGGTAACTCGTGCTTTTTCTCTTTAAAAAAACTTTTTTTAGATGGAATTTCATTCTTGTTACCTAGGCTGGAGTGCAGTGGCATGATCTCAGCTCACTGCAACCTCCCCTCCCGGGTTCAAGCGATTCTCCTGCCTCAGCCTCCCAAGTAGCTGGGATTACATGCGCCCACAACCACACCCAGCTAATTTTTTGTGTTTTTAGTAGAGACAGGGTTTCACCATGTTGGCTAGCTGGTCTCGAATTCCTGACTTCAGGTGATCCACCCGCCTTGGCCTCTCAAAGTGCGAGGATTACAGGCGTGAGCCACTGTGCCCAGCCTCATTTATTTACTTTCTTTTAAGAGACAGGTTTACAGGCCAGGTAATCCCAGCACTTTGGGAGGCCAAGGTGGGAGTATCACTTGAGGTCAGGAGTTTGAGACCAGCTTGGCCAAAATGGTGAAACCTCATCTCTACAAAAATACAGAAATTAGCCAGGTATGGTGGTGGTTGCCTGCCTGTAGTCACAAACTACAAAGGCTATAGTGAGCTATGATTGGCCACCGTACTTAGGCCTGCCCAACATAGCAACCCTGTTTCTTTTTTAATTTAATTTTTGACACAGAGTCTTGCTCTGTCACCCAGGTTGAAGTGCAGTGGTGTGATCTTGTCTTACTGCAACCTGTGCCTCCCAGATTCAAGCAATTCTCCTGCCTCAGCTTCCCAAGTAGTTGGGAGTACAGACGTGTGCCACCACACCCAGCTAATTTTTGTATTTTTAGTAGAGATGGGGTTTCACCATATTGGCCAGGCTGGTCTCAAGCTCCTGACCTCGTGATCTGCCTGCCTCAACCTCCTGAAGTTTATTACTGGCATGAGCCACCTCGCCTGGCCCTCTTTTTTTTTTTTTGAGATGGAGTCTTGCTCTGTTGCCCAGGCTGGAGTGTAATGGTGCGATCTTGGCACACTGCAACCTCTGCCTCCCAGGTTCAAGCAATTATCCTGCCTCAGCCTCCCAAGTAGCTGGGATTACACACACCCGCCATCACACCCAGCTAAGTTTTGTATTTTTGTAGAGACGGGGTTTCACCATGTTGGCCACCAGGCTGGTCTTGAACTCCTAACCTCAGGTGATCTGCCCACCTCAGCCTCCCAAAGTGCTGGGATTACAGGTGTGAGCCACTGTGCCTGGCCTGTGTATCTTTTTAAAGAAGTGTCTTTTCATATCCTTTGCCCAACTTCTAATTAGGGGGTGGGTGTGTGTTTAACATTCTCCTCAGAAAAGTATTGTTTCTGGGTTGAGTTGTAAGAGCTCTCTTTCCTTTTCTTTTCTTTTCTTTTTTTTTTCTTTTTGAGACAGAGTCTCATTCTGTCGCCCAGGCTGGAGTGCAGTGGCGTGATCTTGGCTCATTGCAATCTCTGCCTCCTGAGTTCAAGCAGTTCCTCCTGCCTCAGTCTCCTGAGTAGCTGGGATTACAGGTGCCCGCCACCATGCCTGGCTAATTTTTTTGTATTTTTAGTAAAGATAGGTTTCTGCCATGTTGGCCAGGTTGGCCTCAAACTCCTGACCTCTGGTTATCTGCCTGCCTTGGCCTCCCAAAATGCTGGGATTACAGGCGTAAGCTACCTTTTATTTTGAGACAGGGTCTCGCTGT